GAATGGCGTAAGAATGAACATTCTACCTTTTGCCAAAAAAAACTAGATAGCTTTTCCCGATGAGGTCTCCGCTTTGGAGATATCCGTGAAGATGAATTTTTCATGTAATGCCATTACATATGGGAAGCATAAAAGGCACATTTTATAATTCGATTTTCAACGCTGAATTAGAAAAAAGCTGTTTGAGAGTTTCAAAATAAAAAAGAGAAAAAGGGTTCAACTTTTTTCGAAACGAGAAAGTTTTTCGACTTTTAAGACTCTTCCCGTATTTTCAATTTTTCGACGCGCAAACGTGCACTGGGAAGGCTAAAAAGGCGATATTGGTGATCAGCTTCAAATTCTCTATCGAATCATATATAAAGAAGCTAAAAATAAAATAGTACTTGATTTTTGAATTACGCGCGTCTTAGCTATTGAAGGAACTATCAGTGGCCGCGCGAAGAAGTCCGGAGCATAAAGGGATAAATCGTAAAATCGGAGTAAATCAGAGCAAAATTTTTTGAAAGAATGCGGGGTTACCCCATACCATACATACGTTTTTTCACCAAATGTTGACTTGATTGTAATAAAAAATATCTCTCTTTTTCCCTTGACTTCAGTCTAGGGTCTTAAGCCTTGTTCAGACTACAAAAGTGAGAAACTCGTAACCGTATTGGATGAAAAAGTTAATTCCAACTTAAATCGTGTGCTCGACATGACTTAAGTTAATACTTAAGTGAAAAAAGAGTGTAGTCTGAACAAGGCCTAACAAAATGGTTGTCTGTGTGTCTGTGTGCAAAATACGGAAAAATGGCTGTCAATTCTACGGCTAAGCGAATCACAAGAGAGAAAAGTAGAAGAGTATTTTTTACACAAGAGAGACACAATATTCAAAGAGACTGAATAAGTAATTATTGATACAGAGAGAAAAAAAATTAAGCAAACGTTTCTATAGTTGGGAGATAGTTTTCGCTCCAATTTGATAACACAAAAAAGTCATCTACGAATAATTAAACTTACAGAATACAGATAGTCTATGATGGCGAATCGATCAGAAATACTTCCAGCCTCCCTTCGGAGCGTCAGCGGGTATAAAGAAAACTTTTTAGCATTATATTCGGGTACATCCATTCAGGTCCGCTAAGTTTATACGAACATAGCAGCCGCAAAAATTGCAACGCTCCTGCAGTACAGAGCATAAAAAGCCAAACTTCAGGCCTCTTAGCACAAAAAGTATTCAATCAAATTTTTTTCTTTATGTCTCATTTGCAGTACTCTTCGAGCTCTACACAATAGTATCAAAGATATTTTTGGCTCGTTTCGTTTGAAATAATATTTACTGCGATGCCGACCGAAGGGAGATGTGAGCATTGTCTGGTGTTTAGAAGTAGTTTTAGACTTTTGGGAACCTTTGAAGGGTCTCGAGAAAACCTTTTGGATTTATATTAGATTACGAAGCTTACACATCAAATCAGAGAGATATTCATAACATATTGTAGATGGCCCATTAGCAAACACCGACCGAAGGGAGGTGTGAGCGTTGTCTTCGATTCAAAGTAATGGAAGGTCGTTCATAAATATAAGTTCCTAAAGGGAAGCGACCGAGCGTTACCTTGTGTTTATTTATAATTTGTGTCATTCAATACTTTCCTCAGAAATGCAATGATTCGCCAAATATTTCAACAATCAAAATATATTAATGCACCACTCATAGCATGTATAATAATAACTGATGGTACTTATTTTTATTTTCAATTTAGCAAAGCCAAACAGCTGATATAACAGTACTTGAAGATGGTGAAGCGACTAAACTTGATCACCCGCAATGCATAAGTCGATCAAAAATCCTATCTTGCTTTCGTTGGAGAATTATTCTAAATAACTGAAAAAGAAAAAGATTAATTAAATGCAAAGCGTAAGAACTTGACATTTGCGCTAGAATCAACGCAATTTTCGAATTTTTATATTGATTGTAGTGCTTACAGCTAATTTCTAGTCCTAGAAATTTCCTTTTCTTCCACCGAACTAACGAGGCAATGTCCTAAAGCACTTTAGCGTTAATAGTAACGATTGTAATTAGCCTTAAGAACAAACAAATAGAGATGAAATAAAATATCTTTTGACCTTTTTTTTATAGCATATTACTATCACGGATTAACAGCAGAAGAACTTGGCACATATTTTGAATAAATAATTCGTAAAGAGAGATAGAATTCCAATAAATTTCTTGAAAACTATTATATTACATACAGCTGGTTTTTTTTCACGTTTTAGCGTGCTCTTCAACTTGTTTTAACTTTAGATCAAATTGTGAGCGTCGGCGTTTCATTCTCAATTTCTCTCAAAACAAAATTTCCCCAGTATCAAAATAAAGGATGGATGGTGATGATTCTTCGAACAAACAACAAGATTCTAGTCAAACAGTGAACAATAGTAACAACGGACAAAATAATAATAGTAGCAGCAATAGTAATAATAATAATAATCGAAATTTTGAGCGAAATCGTGGCGGACCGCGCGGAAACTTTTCACCATCAAAAGTCGAATGCAGATATTTAGTACAAAGTCGCGATGCTGGTGCGATCATTGGACGTGGTGGATCGAATATTCAAAATCTTCGTCAAAAACATAAAACAATGATTCAAGTTCCAGATTGTGGTAAATATCGCAAAGAAAAATTAGAAAAGTTGGTAGTTTTTTAGTCTTTTTCTTCCTTTTATTTATTTATAGATGGTCCAGAACGTGTTCTCACGATTAGCGGTGAACTTGAAGCATGTATTTCAACATTGCAGGTTATGGCATGGTCATCGTAATCAACAGGCTATTTGTAATTAAATTCTTCTTATAGGATATCCTTCCAACGATGCGTGATAATCAACGTATCCAAAATGATCAAAGTGAAATACGGTTGCTTATACATCAGAGCCAAGCGGGAGCAGTTATTGGCAAAGGGGGTAAGACAGTTTTAAATGCTTAACGAAACGAACTAAATGTGTACATTTTATCTATACAGGAGACCGCGTTAAAGAATTAAGGTAAATATATTATTTATGGCTATTAGTATATACTAGTGATGTTCTGATATATACAAACAAAAACAGCCGTTACTCTTTTATTTTTTTAGACAAAAATTTAATGTAGGCATGAAAGTGTTTGTACAAACATGTCCATTTTCAACCGAAAGAGTGGTTGCACTCAGAGGCCATCCAGAAGATATTGAACGTTGTATGCGAGAAATCTATAGTATTTTAGGTACGTAAGAAAACGTGTCATTCTAATATATTTATACGAAAAATTAATCTATGCATACGTTTAGATCAAACTCCGCCTCGTGGACCAATACATAACTATGATCCATTTAATTACGACGAATATGTAAGTTGTTTGTTTCTCTTAGGCCATTACTTTTTTTCCTTGGATTGAAAAAAGCTGTTGTTACGTCTCAGTTATCAGCCTTTTCCATTCCACCCTCTACGTATACTTCTCTCGTTGATAATTTATACATTATTTTAATTCTTTTAGACGATTCAGGAATATGGTAAGTTCGTTAAATTAAATATTTGAATATCGATATGAATGCTACCTTTTTATTTTTAGGAGGATTTTCTGACGGACAGGCAATGATGAATCAACAACAAGGAGCACAATATGGAACGCCACGTGGTGTTCGTGATGGAAATTACAATCAGCGATACGGTGTCGGAGGCGATTATTATATGCCTCCCGTTGGTAATGGTTACAATCAGGGACCTCGTCCATTAATTGATTTTGATAGACGGGGTGGTAATTATTCACAACCTGTTCAAACAAATCAGGTAGATCGAATACACTTTTTCTCATTTATTTGTTTAAACTCAATTGTTCAACTGTAGGTTACTATTCCAAATGAATTAGGCAGCGTGATCATCGGTCCGAGGTAAAAATGAAAAAATTGAACAATAACAAAAAATCTATTCACACCTGTTTTTCTAATGTAGAGGTACTAAGATCTCCCAAATTCGTCAACAATCTGGTGCTAGTATTACATTGGATGATCCAACACCTGGTTCAAACGATCGGATAATTACAATTATCGGTACACAAATTCAGATTAATCAGGCTCAATATTTGCTACAAATGGCTGTGAAAGAAAGTGGTATGTAGAAATCACAAAACAGAAAAATTATCAAAACACTTCGTTTTCTAAATTCTTTTTAGGTATGTGGAATAATAATGGTAACAATTGATGAAATTGTCCCAAAATCGCCCAAAAATCCGTCTGTATTTTATGGAAAATGCGAACGTATAACGACCGCTATTTTATTATTTCTCATGTACATTCTAAAGAGGAGCAATTTAAAAAAAACCAGACAAACGCAATATATTAAGCTTTTTGTTCTGTGTATTGTTTGTTTTCTTTTTTCTTTTGTTTTTTTAGTTTGTGCACGATTATTTTTTCTTTCTTTCTGTTTCTCACGTTGTGTCGTGTTCAAAGTTTTTTTGTATTGATCTACGCACACACGTTTAAGTTCTCTGATACATGGAGATATGACTACAAAAGACATGTCTAGAAGCAACTTCTTATTATGAAATAAAATTAACAAAACGACAGGGACAAACTGAAGGAAAGCAAACACAAAACAAATTCTCCTTCTAAGTTAATAATGAATGTTTTTTTTTTAACAATAGATTTGTTAGCATTAATTTATTTTATCGCGAGGTTAAATAGTCAATGTTTTTACTTCTGAATAATGAAGTTAACTGAATCAGATTCCAAACTTAAATCATCAATGATGCCGATTTGTTTTTGAAACAATTTTTCGACATTGTGTGAGATCATGTTTTATTTTTATCTATGTTTTCAATTTTACTTGATTATCATTAGTAGAAAGATGTTTTTCTTCTCTTAAATCAACATGATAGGTTGATGTTTGTTGTTTTAACATTGTGAAGGATATTAGTAATTAGTAGTGAATCATACTGGACTAATATAATTACTTTTCTGATGCCATTATTTTTATATTTTGATTCATCATTTGAAACTATAACGAGATTTTAAGCAGCATTGGAAGATTGTTGATACTTGTTTATTTAGATTTATTTCAATTGTATTTTGTTAACGTTGCGAATTTACATCATCTTATTTTGTTAATTTTAAAATCATTGCTGACCTTAAATTGCTAATCTCAATTTTTCTTTCAATTTTAACTACTACCGATACTATCTTTAAGATTTTTATCATTTAATGGGAATAGTGAAAATGGATCACATGTGAAGTGTTTTCATCGTCAATTAATGCCATTCCATTAGTTTTGTCTATTAAATATTTTTCTTATTTAAATAAAAACGATAATATCTAGTACAATCGAGTTCATAGCATAATGAAACGGAAGCGCATGACAATTGCTACCACGTGTTTTTGTTGATGCGTACAGTGCCTCGCTGTTAAAATCTAAATCGGCACCAATGTGTAAGTGTATTGCAACGACTTTCTATCATTTCTACTCCACGCTGTGTTGCATATAAATTCGTTTAACTCAACGAATTTTCAAGTTCTTTTTAAAATTTTGTTCCTCTATATTTGTATATTCACTTCTAAACAAATGAGCTCTCTAATACTTAAGCCGGGATATTAAGCAAACGTGTTCTAAAAAATTGTTAGTTTTTCAGCTGGTCCGTGAGAAAAAGCGCGTTTTTTCCAAACAAATTAAAGAGAATCGTTGTAAGTTTTAACTGAATCCGTAGGGCTATTCAAATATGTACTTGGAATTGAAATTAAACGAAAACACTACATCGACGGAATACAAAATACTGTGATAACAGGCACTTTTCGTGTTTTTTTGTGCAATGCCATAAAAATTGATTTACCTCAGTATTACTGAGATAAATCAACAGTTAAACTGTTTATGCTAAAACGGTTGGTTTAGAGCCAAAAGATCGAGGAGTGACAATTTTATAAAAAGAAATATTCTTTAACTCAATTAGTTAGCGTAGCGAGGAACAATCATTTGGAGAAAAATTCGATTTTTACACACTTTGTGCACTGACATTTTGAAATTTGCTTTTAATATAACTCGGGATGTATGTATCCTATCGAACGGTACAATAGCTATGCAAATCACTCGTGTATAATAAACATATTGCATTTTGATGGTTATTGTGTTAGACTTTGTGGCGATTCTTGAACACGCTCAATGTTCGATTGTACACCCGTTAAAAAAAATTCAGCGTTTGATTTGAATCAACTTCCTATTTATTGAATCTATCTTTAACCACTTAAATAGCCGTTTTCATATAAGAGTTCATATTTGCTCCACCATCAGCTCTTATTTGTAATATACTCTCAGAGTATATATTCATTAATATTTAAATCTAGATATTTTTCGCATTCGTTATTAAAGATTTGCATTTGAATTGAGTAAGATAAGACCAAATCGATTGTTTGTCAGTGATGCAACTAAGGGGAGACAACTGACTGAACTTTGCCAGAGTTGCCATCGAAATTTTTATCATCGCAATTTCAGTTTTTACTGAAAGCTGCTACAAGAATATGCGATAACGAAAAGAATTTCAGTCGTCCACATATTTCGCGTGTGTGTCTTCCGTTCATCATATTTATTTTTCACACATCACTGTGTACACATCTTAAGGCCCTCCCTCCCCTCAAGTCAGAAATGCCGCTTTTCGTCAAAAATATCGATTTTGTGAAAAGTACATGGATGGATAGCCCAAAGTGTCTACTTTCTAATGGCATAATTTTTGTGTCGATAGGATAGGTTTTGAGCGAGTTTTCCAGAATCTCTATAACAATAAAAATGTTTTTTTTTGCACTTGCACTGCATAATCGCACGCGTTCGTTACATCAGCCATGGTCCATAACCTATAGTAAAGTATCAATAAATTATTTGACGCTCAAACCGTTTTTAAGTAAAACGCATTTAACAGAATCAAAACTTATTTTACGTTTTTCTCAAGGCTGTCTTTTAGCTTCAGGACTTTCGCCACGTGCAGGACTTCTCGGTAACAATACATCGGAGAAAGATAGTTTTATTTTTGATTTGTAGATAACACCTATACTTAGGATTTGACTGAGTCCGATTTTTGATTATGCTTTCATGTTTTATAGAAATGAGGATTTCTAAGAAACCTTCCAAGAACATTTCAGATTTTAGAGTTCTATTAATCACCAGAATCAGTAAAGGACAAATTCAAAGATTAGATTTATTTTACGCAAATGTAGGATATCACAAAAAATAGTTCAAAATACTTGTACCATTCGCGGATACCTTGATATAATCTAAAACTAAAAATTTTAAGCCAAAATACAAAAAACAAGCAAAAAGGAAAAATATATATATAGCATTATTAAAAGCCTGCATAATCTCTCAGTATATTTTTAAATGTTGATAAAGAAGACTGACACGCTAAGACAGAAGGTAGTTCATTCTAATCTTTCAATGGTGATATAGTGAGTACTTTTTGAATTGCAAAAACGGAAAAGAATTCTTTTTCTCTTATTTCAAAGTGAGAATTTAGTCTATATTTTGTATACAAATAGATAGTCCACATTCTATTTATAACATAAATAGTATATACTATGTGTCTATAGACACATGTGTGATTGAAGATATGTGTTTTTGTTATTCTCATTTTGAAGGAGATATACAAGAAAAAACAGTGTCCGTTATATACAAGACACTTCATATTTTCTTAGCATAGTGTGTAGACTATATTAACGCTCGATTGTTTTGCAGTTTATATCCCTATAAAAAAAATTTCAGTGCGCACCGGTGCGCATGGCATGCCATCGGTCATTGGCACTGGCTGGCATCGGTGCGCACCCGTGCCCAGCAAGTGTCGAACCAGTGCCGATTGGCACCCGTGCGCACCGGTGCCGATATATTTCTGCTGAAAGAGTGTCGCACTGCTAAAAGTCAGTGCCGCATGGGTGCCGCACTGGCAAAAATCAGTGGCGCATAGGTGCTGCACTAGCAAAAATTGATGCCGCACTGATAATATATTTAATCAATTTAATTAGTTCTTTATTATGGTTGTTTATGCTGAATTTTGTGTTAGAGTGCGGCACTGATCAGTACCACATCGACATGCCAAAACCATGCGGCATTGCCTCGGC